GTCGTTTTGACTGATAATCAAATACAATTGACTAGCGGATAAAGGTATTTTACCAATACAAGCGAATATGCGAGTCCCTGGAAGTAATTGAGAAGATGACTCGATCGCTGGGATTTTAAGCAGTCCACCTCATATGCCTGTAATCCCAGCATTTGGACCTACGAAAACGGTGGTTTTACGGATTTTGGGGGTAAAATATAGGATACGCTGTGAAGACAATTTGTAGATGTAAATGTGAAGTAGAAACATATAGTTGAATTAGTTTCCCGCGTCTGTAAGTTGAAGCTTTTAAATGGCGTTTTGCGCAGAAAAGGAACGAAAAGAAAAACTCTATACTTGCCAGCTGTTTGCCATCTAAAATATAATGGATTACATACTCGTCGCACCAACAAGGTTCACCTCTGCATTTCATGTCCTATGATTCGTATGAATATCAATAGCTGTCATAAGCAAACGACTTTGGAAGTGGCACTCGTCCGAACTGGCTATTGCGAGGGCACCCATCTTCCACCAGCTCAATCATTTAAAGGGTCCTTGGAAATTAAATCGGATGTCCAGTACTGACACCCATACTGACGTCTCAGAACGATTTAGGGAATGAAAACTTTAATTGCATCGCATGCGTATTACTCACCGGAAAATGTTCGGCAGATGACTCGGTTCACGCAACGCATAAAAATGAAAGGTTCATATATGTCGTATTAAAATGCATAGGAGATTTGCTCGGTATCAGGTAACCTCCGATTTTGCCAAACAATGCTTTTACCCATAACTATACGGAAATAGAACAGTAATTTTCCTTAATACGAGGCTTTCTCAAGATAAATTCCATTCATTAGATTCAAATAATGTGACCAGATGCATGCTGAATTATAAACTCCAATTTCGAGCATGACTTTGTATGAATTATCTCAACTACTGTATGTGAACTAATCACCTGGTTTACAACTGGTTCTTCAGGTTTGTTTTTTTTAAATTTGGATTATTTTAACTTTCCGGACGCCCCTAAATTAGCACACACAGAAGCAGCTTCACCATTTCTTTGGCGTAGGGAAATCGGGATTAGAATTCGTTCCATAAGCCAGCATACCCAGATTTAACTTGACGCAAACGCGTTGATAATTAGTTAATAAATCTGGCCTCCGGATTAATATTATTAACGTAAAAGCGAATTATTAAGTTAACAAATTCTTCATTACAGACACAAAGTCTCTGAAATATGGTCCTCTGCAACGCTTCGTTGGTTAGCATAAAAAGATGCATTGAAGATAACTATATTGGTAAATGTATGACGATTCAAGCTATAATTAGCTTTCGAGGCTTCGCTGCATAAGAACATACCCTCTCATTTAAGCCGACAAAATAATCCTGTAGAAATCGATATGGTAGCCCCTTGCTGACAACCAATCAATTTTTCTATTTGCCAACTAAAAACCAAAGGCAACTGCCTATAGTAAAGTTAAAACAATTTGGACGGACTTACTGTAAAACGAAATGTTGCCCTTACAGAAATTTGTCCTATCGAAGAAACGAAGAGAGCTTTTGGTGCTAAGTATACTCATACTCTTATCCTGTGGGTGCATATGTGGGCCGCTATGAAACTCCTACAGTGTCAGGATACATAATATGTCCTCTGGGATATGCGTTTCCCTTTAAGACACTACGTTAAAAGTCTCGGCAGTCGAAGCTTTGATAAATGCACCTCTAGCCTGGTCAACATTTTTTTATCTAAGAGGACTAAAACACAAAAATTTGCAATTGTTTTTTCATGAGATGTCCGCGTAATAAAAAGATAATGTGAAGGCATAACCGTCTCCAAACAGAAGTACTTACGGACATTCACTATTGATTCTGTCCCATACATGTGTCCCTCATCCACTTAAAACTTATTTTGACTACCAGATTAAGAATATTTGACAACAAATCTTATAGTGCAACGGAAGTAGTATTTACTTCTTTCGAAAGTTGACCTCATTTCTCGGAGCAAACGATGGACCTAATGTTGAAAGAGTTAACTTTGGTAGTCTACTTACAGGATAATTATCCTCATTAAGTAATATGCGACGTTTACATATCTTCTGTTATAATACTGTAGGAGCAAACGAGATCTGTAACCTGCCCGTCGATCTTGGAGTGTGCAGAGCATTCGTAGACCGCTTCTACTTTGACGTCAGGAATGGAACCTGCAAATCCTTCGTATACGGCGGGTGCCGCGGAAATGAAAATAATTTCGAAACCGAAGAGGCATGTCTTGAGACATGTGCTTAGAAGAACACCCCTCTTCATTGATCAGTTGTTTATCATAGGTATTTGTGGTTTTTGTAATGGTTGATGGCTTTGGAAAGGTTCAATATATGCATGTTCTTATCAGACGTAATTTCTTCTGCTCATATCATAAATTCATATGTGGTGTCAATGCGACTCCTCGTTCCCTCAAACGCACAATAAGGGGGCATTTTTGTCCCATGAACACGCAGTTTGCTTCAAGTGAACGCGGCTGTCGCTTATCAACGCAATACACAAAATTTTCTGAAAGAAGTACGATCCCAAATTGTGTGCATTTGGATTATTCATCATTTGACCAGCATGGAAGATTATTTCTCGGTGGAGCAAAGAATGGTTAAACGTAAATGTCAGGAAAGGTTTAGTGGTGTGTACACTGTCTGGCTAAAGCGGGGCTTAGAAATATCCATATTTAGGGCAATCGCGTCTCATGAGTTTTACAGTACCCACAGACCGACGCCAACAAAGCGTTTCGCCTCACATGCATAGCATTGACAGTAAAATCCGATTTCTAAGTCAGAGGAAATTTTCCACGACAGAGGCGGCAGCCAGAAAGCAGCCAGCTAATTGTGTGTTCACAGAAGGCATTTGTACAGAGTATTCACGTATCTTGGCGAAGAATGCACTGCGAATCTTCTAATTGGCGGCATACTACGTCGGGTTACAAAAAGCCGTCCGTAAAACAGCTCGTTGGTACCGTCTTGATGTTCCCCTAGCGGGTCTAGAACATCATTACTGCATCCTCTTCCAGACATACTGATAGAAGGAAAAGAGGAAGAAGCTTAAAATAGGAAGAAGCGATCGCTGAACCAGGGGTTTTCGTTGGTTATTGTTTATGTCACTGATGATAAATCCGCGACGGCTCACGAAACGTCAGGCGAATAAAAGTGTTGCCTCAGCGATCTAGTTGTCTTCTCCTTAGTTTGAAGATTCTCACTTGCACCACAATTAGGTGTCACAGATAGGTGTATTAGAGGCGAGTGACGACTCAGGTGAGGAAGTTCACACAATAATTGTGAACGCAACATAAGGGCTGTAGGCTGAATTTGGAGTAACTTCGGTAGATGTCTGCTTTTCCTCCCTGATCCGCACACGAAAACCCCAGCCGTTTGAAATAGGGGACACATGTAATAATGGTTATTCAGGAAAAGGAAATGAAATTCAAAAAAGTAAGTGCATAAACCTAAAAAACAGGAATAGTTTTTTTAAATAATGCAATGATTGCCTGTGCGCACGCTGCACGCATCTGCTACTGTTCTGAGATTATGTCTTTGATGACGAATCGGCGATGGATCTCGTAACTTCAGGCAAAAAAGAATTGTCACAGTGATCGAGTCGTCTTCTCCTTAATGTACTGATTGTCAAAAAAGATTGCCATAATTAAAATGTGCAAGAACGCAAAAATTTGGTAAAAAAATAAAAATAAAACACGCACTCCCAATTGCAGCACCTGGGCCAAAAAGAAGGAAGCCGTTGGACAGTCGGGCTACTTAAAATGCGAAAAAATTGTTTATTATAAGCGAAAGAAACAGCCGACCCCTTTAACAGCCCAAAACGTTTAACAAATTTCATCAAATTCACTTTAGTTAAAAGAAATGGAAAATGGAAAACGGAAATAAAAATACTACAAAATGAACTGAAAAATAAGCTTAAAACAGAACTGAAATATAAATGCGTTTAATATATCAAAATAAACCGACCTAAGGTAAAGTAAACCACTAAAGTTTTTAACTGGAAAAAAGACCGTATGTGAAAAATTTGACAAAAAGCTAAACCAAAACCGAATTACCTATGCACGCATATGCAATCCCCAATAAACTAAACTAAGTAAAGTCAACAGAAATCCAAAAAACCTTAATAGAACGTCAAAGGTGTTTTAAGTATTGCATCTCATATGCGCTTAGGCCCGGCATTTTCTCCCACGGAACCGGTGGTTACAGGGTTTTTGAGGATGGGGAAAAAGGATAGGCAGAAAAGGAAATAGTTAGAGGGGCAAAGTGGAAAAATGTATTTGAATTCGTTTTCCGCAACCGCTGGATAAATGTTGCTCCCCATGTTATTTGAAGTTGTATATGGCCCTTTCCACCGCGGACTTATTAAGCTCCAGAATGGTAAGTTGTACCTCGAGTACCTTGAAGTAGACGACGTCCTTACCATATTGTTTAATTTTTCAGTAATCTCACGAAAGCTGCATTATACTAATTAGATTTTTCCGCAGAATGTTAAACGATAATTCAGATGGGGATAATCAACAGATATTAATTAACAACATTTCCTAAAACAATAAAATATAAATGCATATAGAGGTTTTTAAAATACATTCCACTGCCCATCCTATTTCTCCAGTCATAAAACTCCCATAAAAACCGGGTTCGCCGGGCAATATGCTGGGATTAATGTACACGTGGTAAACTACTTAGACTAAGATTGCAAATAAAATTAATAAACCTCAACCATAAACTCAACCTTAACTAAAACTGAACACAAACTAAAATAACCTATGAATTAGTACGAAGCGTAACGATGTACATTTCTTTTTTTCTTTATTGAGCCCTATATTTCTGCAATAACATTATATTATTTAAACAATTTCTGGGAGGTAAATAAGACATCTACTAAAACTTCAACTCTGTCCAATTCTTTGAATCTGTTCTAGGTCTGTGCATGCAGTGTGAAGTTTGACATTGTTTTGCTAGAACAGAGCCTGTTTTCGATGAATCATTACCCTGTGCTTCTCCTTAAACTTGTCCTAAACTCGTCCAACTTCTGTGAAAGAGAGACCGGAGTTGACGGCACGGGCATTTAACGCTTATTCGAAGCAAAGCAAAATTTCGAATTTCCATCAATTATTTAACGCATAATGATCTTATCGAACCCATCTTTATCCGAGACAACAGAAGCCGTCTGGATACTTAAAGGCATTTATTTTATCGGCCGTAGTTGACCATGAAAACATATTTCTCATCAGGCATTAGGGTGCGCTTCCGAAATTGATCGTTTGGACAGGTTAACAACAATCGGCAGCAATCGTAAACAAGTTGCTTGGCTTAACTTTTGGTCAGCTCATTTTTATCATAATATTGATAGATTAAGTCAAAGACAACTTCGAGATTATGCAAACATGTAAAATAGTTTTATGCTGGACTCCAATTCCTCTTCGAAAACTACAAACGATCAATGACGGTTGGTGTTTAAGGGGGGCAACGAACCCTCATTGTGAAGGGCGACTGGAAGGAGACTCCCCTTCCAAAATTATGCCACATGTGCAGCTGTCTAGTCGAAAGGGTAATTGTTGTCCTATCATATTTATACCATAGAAATAACGGTGAAATTGCACTTCTGTGTAAAAAATTACAAACAGCTTCATAGAAAAGTTTAAATATATATAAGACCTCAAAATAATAAGAAAATTTAACGTCTACTTCAAAAAGTTAAACTAGTGTTCATCGCAAGTGCTAGTGTTTGTTTAATTCTGTATTTTAGAAATCTTTCGAGCAAAAGGAGTTTCACAATTCAATTGAAAGGTTAAGTCTTCACCCAGACCTTCCTCTGATGATACACTGCGACATATATGTGTTCATTTACAACAAGTGGCAGTGCAGTTAAAATTTCGGTTAAAAGGCCAGACGATTTCAGCCTTAAACTGCCGTGTCTGTTTGCATCTTTGAAGAGATTATAAAACACATCCAATGACGGCCAGTGAACCGCTGTAAACTTCTAGTGAGGTAATGAAACAAAATAAGTGCTACTTTACAATGCTTAATTAGCCTGAATTTTTACATTAAATATCTCTTTAACAGTCCTGCATTTCAGGTTTGCTTGCTCAGTTAAAAAAACGACTGAGGATCGTTTCGTGTTCTTCTTTGCTAACTACGCAATTGCTAGCCTTGTATTAACAATAACTTACAATTTTGCTTCCTCCTTTACTTACGTGTTATATTCCAGCTGCACTGTAGATGTGATTGTGACCCACTGTAAGTGTTCGCAGAAGAAAGGTTTTACATTTTCTGACTCCCTGCACAAGCGCAGGAGCGAAGCAGTTCAGATAAAAGAATATAACATCGCCGAAAAAAGATTTGTCTGGATCTTGTGTCTAAGCTTTTCACTTGAAGTTAGCTTTTCAGGCAGCCGCAAAAAAGAGAGAATTCATAACAGAGTCTAGTTGGATTTCCAGGTCGATTAATTGCTCATTTTAAACATTGCAGCTCTTATTGAGGCTCCCCGAGGATATGCAAATCCACTGCTACTTTCCAACACCCAAAGCGCACCAACTATCAGAGACAGCGGTTGAATTTAACAAAAAATGAGCTGACCGGAATTGGTGGTTGTTGATATGCAAGCATTTACTTACGTTCTTTTGATCCGAAAAGTGGACTTGATCCTGAGGAAGCCTGTTTACTTCAGTAGGCTTTAAAAAGGCAGAGAGAATTTCGATGAAGTCGAAATTCTCAGGATATCCAACAAATTTCTTAGGCTTTTTACTATAATATTAATATTTTCGCGTTTTGCTCTTGGAGATCACCAATGCAAGGGAGGAAAGTTCAAAATACGACCCTATCCATATCGGAAAAATGTAGTCTCAAGTTGATGAAAATCAGGGGAATTCAGGTTGAAAGAATGGCATTTATTTTCTGAAACGGTTATTATTTTCGTTTATAAAAATAAAATGTTGCCAGTTTGTGAAGCTTTTTGTCAGAAAACACAGTAAAATAAGTTTTGACTGAGTTTTGTCTTAGCCCACCGAAGTTATGGGGTCATAGATAAAAATGCGCATAATTTATGATGTCGTTTTATCGTGTCGCTTTATTGTGTCGCTTTACCATGTCATTTTATCGTGTATATGAAGATACAAAATAATATTGTTAAATCTGAGGCATGCAGAAAGATAATTTTTGATTCAACATAGTCTCCGCTAAGATGTAATTTAGAAACAGAGCAGAGAGAAGTTGAAAAGTTTTCACAAAGTCTTACAATATAGTTGGTGA